CCCCCCATTTAACTCACAATTCCTGTGCCACTCCCCTTGCGCCCATCAAAAAAGGTACCTTCCTTAAAATAAGATCTTTTATTTATTTCTTAGGGACAATCCAGCTGTTACGGACTTGCAGAAAAGCAAAAATGATATTGGTAATGATCAAGTAACTTATACATATCATGAAGTAATACCAATGTTCGGTATTTATAACCAAAAAACTAGTTTGCCAACAACCATGACGGTTTTGGAGCCTAATTCAATGGTACAGTTCAATGTTTCTGTACACAGTGATCTGTTGAAGGTACACCAGTACTGGGAGTTAACAGATATTGCAGATGGAAGCGTAAAAGTAACAGACAATCTTGCAATCACAAGCTATGGCATTCTAGCAAGATATGCAGCAAGTGAGGCTTTGAAAGCTCACACAATGCTCCTAAACAACCTTAAAAAGAAATTGGAACAATAATGAAATTCAAGCCAATAGGTGACTTGTATTATAGAGTCATTTACTACCATTACAATAATCCCTTGCACCCTTTCTTTTGTTCTGTTAATTAGCACCAATTGTCTTACTATTCGCATGAGGAAATGTAAATTTGAATAGAAAAGAAAATTCATGAAGCATTTTGGTAGTGTTAGTAAAATGATGCCATCATAAATGCAAATGGCCCATATAGTTGAAGATAGTGGAATTGTCATTACGTATGTAATGATTAAGCCATATCTCATGAGGGCAAATAGTGATCCTATTATTGTTATATTAACAAACTGGACAGCATTAGAATATGACGGAAAGAAATTTCAATTGATTTTTATTTAGAATCTCATAACAGTGGGATTTGATTTGATGTATGTGTGTATAGATTACAATTAGCTAGTTATTTCTCTCCTGTGCTTGGAGGGATTTTCTCTGGGTTCTTTGCCTTTCCTAGCTCTCTGCAAAAATCAACTTCTAAATTCCAATTTAAATTCAGTGGTAGAAGAGGCACTCTTTGGAATCACTGTTAATTTCCCATCGTCATCATTGTTGCATCGTCGTCATCATTTGTTATTACATCAAAAACTATTTTTTCTACCATACATAGACTTTGAAATCGACCACTATTAGATCAGGCAATAGGAATATTCAATATTCAATAGTCCACTTGTTTCTATATGCTTTATGTAGTGTTTTGAAATCATAAGGAAATGTTATTTTTTTATTTGGGGGAGTGCTGGGAGATTCAAATTAAATAAACATTTTTAAAATTGGTTTTACCTTTCCTAACTTAATTTGTTTTTAATTTAACACATTGAACTTAATAGCTGTATCTACTTAGAAATTTCTGATTTTCTTTTCCGAGCAGAATTTAAGTTGATCTTTTGTTCCAGTCTTTGATGAAGTAGTTGTAGTTCCTTCAACATTTCCTTTCCTTTGGCAATGTCTTCCATGATGTCATCATCTTCATGAACTTTTAACTCTTGCTCTGAAAATGTTTTCACATCATGTTTTAAGGGTATCTTGTAATTATATTTAATAGTTAGACCCCCAGACATAAAGTCGTTCTTAGTGTCTTAGTGTCGTCACGCAACGCTCATTGCGTGACGACACAAAGAACAGCTGCGGAGGAGAATAACTTACCTTCCGTCTTGTGTGACTCTGCTCTCCGGAAAATCTTGTCAACCACTAGACCAACGCAAATCAATGCGGCTAAAACCCCAATAGAGATGTATATAGCTTCTTTCAAAGCACCCTTGGACTCGATGAAAAGATTAAACGAATGCGTAGTCGTGGAAAAACTGTTGTTCATCCCCTGTTAAGAACATAAGATTTTTCTAGGACTTTATCAAAGCATTATTCTATGCATGGAGAATTCCGGGTTTTACCTAGCTTGTGTGTAGCCTGCCTGACTTTAGCTCCGGTTAAAGAGTTTTGTGTACATTTAAAGGACAACTGACCCTCCAAAATGACCCATTTTTAAGAGGAACTACATCATTTGAGAAGTCCAAAAATCCAGTTTTTAAAGGGGATAGAGCATCCATTTTTCTAAAACAATTTTTTGAAAACATCGCATATATCGCTCTGGTGGCCGCCATCTTGCGCTTTT